TTAAATGATAGTCAATTAGCGACTTCATGCTTATTCCAACATGATCTAGTTAATTTGGGGGGGGATCTATCGCGGTCTAGCGCCTCTACGCCGTATAAACGGGCGCATGGATCGATGTCTTCTAGAACACTGATTATGAGGCGTTATAAAGCCAAGACGGACACAACAAAAACTTAATATTATAGAAAGGGTAACACCAAAGAGAGCGCAGAATGCAAATTCTATGTCCAAGCATGCCCTCGATTTATAGATTGTTGCCTCCATGTCATCCATGTCGTAGCACACATCTGACTCGTCACTTGCGAATACTTTGACAACAATCTACACATGATATAACAATAATTGTCAATTATTCATTACTATGCAAAGGATTTGATTAATGTATCGTCACCTCATCATAAATCTGAGGATCACAAGTCGACGTAGCCTTCACAGTGACTATTCCAGGACTCTTTGCCTGAATAACCCCATCAGACGACAGAGCCACAATCCTCGAATTTGTGGTACGCCAGCTGTAGTCACCGGATGTGTTTGCACAACCTATATATGTATATATTATTGAGCATCAATTAAGATCTTATCCTCATACAGTATATGGTATATATATCAAACAAGGAGGAGACAAAAGATCATATACCTCCACCTCTCACATTTAGCTTAATCTCCTGAGAAACATGAGGATTCCACTGCAGTAAAATCGTAGGTTTCCTGCTCAATGTGAACTTGACTAGATCACTAAACTCCTCTAGATTATTCTCTTGCCTATTAGAGCAAGCTGATTCAAAAGCTGCTCCTACAGAAAGCATGGCCATAGCCAAAAAGCAAAATGCCAAACGGACGCAAGTGGTCCTCACTGAAACCTAGAGCATTTAAACACAAGGTCAGATTTGAGACTAGAGCAGCAGAAAGCTAATCAATGAGGAGAGGAAAATTTTGAACAACAACTTTCTCCCCATCAACTTGGAGAACTTGACCACGTCGTGTAGTTCCATCGCCAAGACGCATATTGACAGTTTCTTGGTATTTAGGTCCCTAACGCCATAAACAAGAAATCAATGGTTCATATAAGAAGAAGCAAAATCCGAACACTAATCTCTATATATGTACCTTGACTTTTTCAAGGCCGACAAGAGGTTCGGCAACACCAGAGACTGTGGTATAGAAATAAAGTGTCAAAGAGAAAGAAAAGCACAAAATACAATCTCTCAAGAACCAAAGATGATCAAAATCATGGTTCATAAGCTTCTCAAGATCCCAGTCATATTTTCACTAGCATTGATACTCTTGTACACATAGATATTAAGGAATAGAGGATGAAGCTCTTCTTACCCATGCCAATCTCCAAGGTACCCTCCATTTCACCCATTCTTTTATCTTCACAAAAACAAACAAAGATATATCAGCAAACGATGAGACCCAAAATTCACATCTCCAAATTTTTAGATCATCAACTAACTAGTCCAATGTTAGCAAAGCGAAGACACTATGAAACTCCCGGTCAAATGCGTAGGAAAGCAAGACGTAATCC